TATTTGGGTTTATCTTCTTGGACCAATCTTTTCACGGAACAACGAGCTCCCAGTAGCCCCTGATTAGTCCTGTTGGTGCTATATTTTGTGACAGCCTGGGCTTGACTGTCCTCTCAGATTTGTTTTTACTCTGCAGGAGCAGATCCCTGGTGCCTTATGTAATGAGGGGCTTAGATCTGCAGTTCATCTCATTTAGGACACACTGCCTTCCTCATCTCAGCTCCCAAATCCACCCAAAAACACATGTTCACTGCCAAATTTTTATTCAGCTTCCATTGAGAACCATGAGCTGTGTCTGTACCGTGTACTGCACGCAGTGTTATTTCAGTGTCCAACAGGCTTTCAGCACTGCCCGTGGTTTCAACCATCGCTGTGATAAAGAGGGCAGGAGGGAGTTGCTTCAGATTCATTTTTTTTTTAAAACAAAAATATTCTCAGAAACTTTCAATAAGCTTTTTGTTATCTGTTCTGCTTCAGAGCTGAACGTACAGGGGGCTGTTTCCTCCTAATGGGAAGTGCTTTTTTAGGTTAACGACTGGGAGTGTTTCAAAGCAGAGCAATCCCATTAAGTGTTTCCTTGTCCCAACAGCAGCCGCCTCATTGAGTGAAATTGGTTTCGCTACATTATCTATTGGATTAGCAAACCAGTTAGGAACTGATGGGAGAGCTTTTCCTTTGGTTGGGGTAAATGAACTGATGGGAGAGCTTTTCCTTTGGCTGGGGTAAATGAACTGATGGCAGAGCTTTTCCTTTGGTTGGGGTAAATGAACTGATGGCAGAGCTTTTCCTTTGGCTGGGGTAAATGCTCTCTTTGCTGCCCGGACAGGGGACAGACATCTCTGTATCTTAACTCTTCTTAGTGCTCTCACTGCCGGCATTCCTTTCAAACCCATCATGCAGTGTCTTGCTCTTCATCTTTCATCTCGTGCTTTCTGATTCCTTGCAGCCCCTGGAGGCAGCAGCAGCAGCTCTTCTAGCCCTCAGTACAGCAGTTTGCAGCGGTGCCCCCCAAGCTCTCCTGGGCACACAACACCCTTCCTCCTCTGCTGGCAAGGCCCTTGGGCCCTCAACAGGCAGCATGGGATGAAATCTCTGGGGTTCCTTTGATTGTCCTTCTAATGCGTTTCATCTTCCAGTTCAATAGTTGCAGTGTCTGTTGTGTCAGTTTACAGAAGCTCCAGTGTCTGGATATGTACACTTTATTAACACTTCACATTTAGAATGATTACATTAACACATAGCCCACTCCTTTTCTCACAGACACGCCAGTCCATAGAGCAGAACTATAAATTGCTGAAAGGAACACAAATGCTTTCAGGTGCCTTCTGATCTGCCACAGACTTTTTTTTTTTATGACACTAGTAAAACCCATCCAAAGTCAGCATTCAGCTGACACCAGATTTGGCTTATTTACTTCATTAAGGGCATCATGAAATTAGAGTTGAATAGGGAATTGCCTTTAGATGTTAACAGATCTTAAGTACTAGTGCCTGAGGATTTTAAAATATGATTTTAAATTAAAAAAATAAAAAAGTATATCACATGCAAAAGCACAGCAGATTCAAATTTATGCAAAACTCCAGTCAATTCACCACACTCCTGTACTGAAACCTCTCCTTAAAAGTTTGAATGGCATCTGAGTTTTCTGTTTCTGGCTCTGTGAACAGATTTAAGAAAATCCCACTCCTGCCGAGGGAGGTGTTTTGTCTTGTGCTACTCATGCAAGTGCAGGAGCAGTAACCAAAATCCCGTCCTCCCCTCTGACCACCTGGGTCCTGGGCTGGCCACGTGTCCATCTGCAGCTCACAGGGCGCTTTCCTGCCCGCCTGCAGCCTCCTGAGACGTGTCTGTGCCCGTGTTTGTGCTGCTGTGTCCATCCTGGGACAGGCTGGCGTGCTGGCTGGGGGCTGTGCGGAGGGGATGGCTGCCCCCTCTGCCTTGGATCAGCCACACTGATCAGCACCTTGAAGATCTGCACTGAAAGCACAGCAAACCCTCCCTGAATAAATCTTCTGGAGCAGTCAGCAGGACATGCAGCCTGTGACTGTCTCCCAGATGGAGAAGCGACTAATTTTGTCCAATAACCCCATGTGATCAGGCAGTTGGCTGCAGTGTAAGGAGTTATGTCAGGTGCACAAGTACAAACTATTACTGCAGAAGTAATTAGATCAGACATTGCCTTTATAATATCTGCAGCCACCTCCTTGCTAATTACTGCAAATAACCAGCCAGTGCTCACTAGAGGGACCGGGGCCAGGCTCTGCTCGCTGCTCTTTAATAACTTTAATTCCAAAATCACGCATTCTTTTCTTATGATTTACACTCTGCAGGCACTGCCTGTGAGTGTTTCCTCAGCTGAATTCAGTCAATAACTTCACTCTGAGCAGAAGACACTGACCCTGACAGGCAACATCATAAACTCATAGCTGGAGAAACCTGCAGGGTACAGAAAGGACTCTACTTTCCCAGCACTGATTTCAAACCAAAGGTTATTTCTGATTTTTGCGAGTGTAACAGAGAACAGAGAGGTACCCTGGCCTTTCTAAAGGGTGTAGTTCTCCCGTGGGGATGGATCAGGGACAAAGCAACGACCTAGTAAGGAAAAGGCATGGTAAAGTCATGCTTCTGCTGGTGTTATTCCACTCTGCACTTGATCATTATATAAAACAGTCAGAATAATTCAGAAGAGAGCAGGAGAGGTTGAGTTTCTTGGGGGAGAAAGCGATTATGAGCAAAAACGCACTTTGGGGAAAAAAAATAGTGTATTTCTGTAATGTAACATTGCATTAACATCAGGAACAAACAGCAAGAAAAGGAAATTAGAGGAGGAGCAGGAGGGGAAAAAAGAAGGCTGATTACCTGATCATTGAAGGAGATGCAGCTTTCCCTTGGCTTTCTGGATAAGGTGGCAGTTGAGTTACTGTGCTATAATTCAGTGAGAGCCTCAGAAACCGTGGCAAATCCCCCATGGAAGTACCCGTTGGATGCACTTACCCAGGGCGAGGGGGAGAGTTTCTGCCTCTCCCAGAGGGTTTGCTTTCTGTAAAACTCAAACCAGTCTCATTAAAGCCATTCTGGAGATGATGCAGGGCAAGGTCTGAGCTAGGGATCCCCAGCCAGTCAGCGCCGAGATCCTGGAGCAGAATCCGGGTGTGCCAGTCCGGGGTTGGGGTGGGGAGGGCTCAGGGGAGCAGTTACAGCTTCGTGGCAGTTTGGGATTTCCAGCACACTGCTGGCTGACAGATTTCCACCATGACAGAAACTCAAGATTGAGGTGAACCTCAACCAGGAGGGGAGCATATTTGCTACTACAGCTCACTTCAAGGTCATGGTTTTCCTTCAGAGCATTCTCTTACTTTGCTGATACTGAACAGATCTTCCTCTCAGTTATAAATCAGTGCTGCGAGCATGAAATCAAACCCTAAGTCACAGATAAGTTAAGGCAGGAGGGATGTGCTCATGCTCCCCTGGGATCAAATGCTTCTCTCATCCTTATTGCAACCATTAATCATCAGCCACCACGTTGAGGATCCCCATCTGCAAGTCCCAGCAAAGCTCTTCTCTTACCTACACCTGCTTAACCCCTGCCCCCTCTCCCTTCCATCTCAGCTTTCAGCCCCTTGCTTTGCCTCCTTCCTTCCCTCTCCCTCTCCCTTCATATTTGCTTGTGGGTCAGTCTCTGTATTTAAAAACAAACCTCTCACTTCCAAGGCAACAAAGCCTTCAAAAGAAATTTCCCCTTTGTGGCACCTCATATTGGCTTCCTACATGGGCAACACTCGAGTGGGTTTAATCCACAGCCCAATATATTTATTGGGAGATTTCAGAGGTCAGTTGGGAAGCTTGTTTGTTGGGAGTGCTGTGTTCATGTGCTGAGTTCACTGCAATTATTCACACAACAAAGTGCTATTTTGCGTGAGTTGGGTCTAGTCCTGACTTAAGGAGTGTTTGAGGACCTACAGATTTCCCTGTGGGATGATGGAAGTGAAGAGCCCTCACAGGTCAGGTGTGCCTGGAACAAAAATGGCAAAACTATCCAAAGCAAGGGAGTACCTTAAAGCCAGTTGAGAATTCTTTTTTGTACTTCATTTGGCCATTCAGGGATGGATTCAGAGAGGATATTTCCAAAGGCACACATAGTAGAATCTCACTGGCAATCAATAGAACAAATTCTAAAGCCCTTCCTGAAAAGGGAGTCCCAGTTCCTGCCTTATGAAGCACCTTTAAATTCCTTCCCAATCCAACACAGGGAGCCTGAGTTTTCCCTCTGTTTCCAAATCACTTTTATATATTTGGGGCCTATTAAACTGATAAACATTTCTGTGCTTAAGTGTTTAAACTTTCATTAGCTTAGATCTGAAATGTAATACAGTCATTATTAACAGTTCAGTAGAATTTGATGTAGTATATTTTATTTCATGCTGTGGCTAAAAGCACTGAATTTTTTCAATATTTTATCCAAGACAAATAATATTGTAAGAAAAACCTCCACTCCCCTCTATTCCTTTTTACTTTGTTGATGAGATTTTTCTGATTAAAAACTCCAACTCTCCCACTACTGTTAAACCCAGACCATCCCACAGAAGGCCAGAGGCAGAAAATCACTCATGTGCAGAAGTGAGGAATTAACTCTTTCATTACAAAAAAGGAAATTATCTGAGTGTCAAAAGCCAAATCTTCGTTACTGATCAACCCTTAAAGGGGAGGAAAACCATGGTCACTTAAGAGTTAAACTTTTGCTACAAATATGTACATATGAAAGCTTGTCTCAGGGTGTGCCAGGAAGGAGGGGGCTGGCACAGCACAGTCCTTACTGCATCAAATCAGATCAGCACCCCACTGCTGCTTTTCCTGGCAGTCCACAGCAGGGCTTGCTCGGCTTCAGAAGTGTCTGGAGCTCGCTGGGGAGATCCTGGGAGAAGGGATGGCTGGGTTCAGTGTCAGCAGGGCTGTGTCACTGGGATGGTGCTCCGTGTGTAGCTCTGGCCTGGCCGTCGCTGTTGGGGTCTCACATCGTGTAGGCCACCCAGTATATGACGTTGACAGCCGCGAAGGCCGCTGGGAACACGGCCCTGGCGTAAATGTCGATGGTGTCGGCGTCGATGGGCTTGAACAGCGACTTCAGGCCAGTCTTTTTATCCAGTTTCATGCCTTGCCGCTGCTTGGTCTCTCCAGTTTCTATTTCTATGGTGCCGTAGGATCCAGGCAGGCCCCGGGGAATTCGGTGCTGCCTGTTGGAAATGGCCAGTTCCTGGCTCACCCCGGCTATGGACAGGGAGAACAGAACGATGGCGTTCTTCACGTTGATCTGCAAGGGAAAGAGGACAATGAGAGAGTTTCTGCCTCTCCTGAAAGGTTTATTTTTCTGCAAAACTCGAAGACCTAGGTAAGAAATCAGCAGCATCACAGCGATCTGGATGCAGTGAAAGGCCTCAGGCACTGAGATTCCCCGGGGGAGCACAGGGCAAAGGCAGCTGCAGGGGCTCTGCTCTGCCACACTCACTCCCTGGCCCCTCACTGACCTCTGCACTCTGCCTCCTCGCCTTGAGCTTGTTCTTCTGCTTCTTCATGTAGTCGGCGTTGAAGTGAGCGAAGGCGTACTCCACCAGCGCCGCGAACACGAACACGTAGCAGATCCAGAAGTAAACGTCCAGCGCCTTGATGGCAGAGGCTCGAGGCAGGGACGAGCGGGCACTCACCATCAGCGTGGTCATGGTGAGCACAGTGGTTATTCCTGCAGGGAGCAGGGCACAGAGTGGATTTGCTGATCTATTGCACCTGGAGATTTTTGCTACCAATCTGAAGCTGAGGATGTTTTCACAGTACAAATACTGTGGCTCCTGATTTTCAAAGCAGAGAAGCTTGGAAAAAGCTGCATTTGTGTAAGGCAGCTTTGAACAAGTTCTCCTTGGGTTTGTTCTAAATCAGGGCAAACCAGGCCCAAAGACTTAACCCTCCAACACTTTTGCATCTGGGCTGGCAACCCTTCCTCAGCCAAACGGATCCACAAGCTCCAGGAATATTTTTTTTTTTGCCACTGTCCCAATTCCTTCAAATGAATTCTTTCATAGATCTGCCTCGCAGTCATTACTGCTTTTAACCCTCTTTAGGTGGTTATTTGCTGCTCTTTCCTGAGGCAGCTGCTCTGATAACAGGACAGAAATTAAAACAGGAGGGGAGCCTTCCAAAGGACCATCTCTTCTGCAGGAGTAAAACAGAGCGGTCACAAACGCACCTTCATGGAGAGCGGGGATTATCAGAGAGCAGAATTCCACCCCCAGCACTGCCTTCCCTGCCAGTCCCCCTCAGCACCTGCTTTACCTAAGGACACCCTGGCAGGCACAGCCGACTGGCTGATCCAGAAGGACACCCACGACATGGCCACCAGGAGGATGGAGGGGACGTAGGACTGGATGATGTAAACTCCTCGATTCCGCCGCAGCTGGAAGTGGAGGCTGAGCCTGGGAAACTGCCCTGCTGGAAAAAAGAGCAGGCAGAGAAGACCCTGGGTGCGTGAATGACAGTCAGACTGACACTCAAAATGACATTTCTGTAATGACACAGAGCTCTGACATCTTCTGGACAGGGATCACAAGCAGCTTTCCTGGGTGGTGTTCCATCAGTCTCCATAAGCCCTGCACGAGGTGCTGCAGCTTCACCAGCTAAGAATAGGTCAAATGATTTGTCTCAGGTCATATCAATGCCAGATCTGAAAATAAAATCATGAGTCTTCTCAAATAACAGTATTGCTTCAAAATGTGTACTGTCTTATCATCTGCTGTAGAAAGTCCTCCAGATACTAAATTTAGATTTTTTAAAAGGCCAAGTTAATTTCAAACTCAAAAAAAAAGAGCTTAGAGGAGATGTGCAGCATAAATGAGAATCTGAATACATGAAAGAGGATGAAAAATCAGCAGGAAAGAAATGACTCCAATCTTGTACAAACATTGCAATAAGCCCAGTGATAGACGTACACACCAGTGACTTCTACTGGGTGAATTAGCCTGATCTGACTGTACGTCATCAGCTTCATAACATCAGGGCTAATGGAAATTTTTCTCGATCTGAAGTCGCAAATTAGGTCAAGAAAATGGGAGCTATACCTCAAGTGTGTTTTGTCAAGTGCTGTCTGGCTACTCCACACAGTATTTTGCCAGGCAGGGAGAGCTTAAGGACACACCGTGCTACAGTGGCTACCTGGAGGCTTTTCACAAGTGTAAGCTGAAGAAAACTCTCACCAGACACCTGACAGGTTCTTAAATTAGTTACTTAAGAAGAAGCATTTTCTGTCATAGATACAGGAGGTTTCTCTGTGCTGGGAAAAGCCAGATACTGCCCCTGAACTGAGGAGAGATGCTGTTACCAGATTTGAAGTTCATAATTTCTGTAGTGAACTGGTAGTTGGTGATGGTGAACTGGGCGAGCTGCAGCTTGTCCAGCCCGTGGATCTCCTCCTGGTTCTCTGACCAGTGGTACACGATGTCCTCCGAGGAGTAGCCATCTGCCAAAAGGAAGCCGAGTAAACACCGAGGTCGAGGCACAAATGAAGAGCTTAGAGAACTCACAGTAACTCCTCTGCAGGGCTGATTTCCATCAGACCCACTGCAAACATGCTGCATTCAGCCTGGACAGTTCTGCCTGGGGGTGGTGCAGGACACCAGGGACGTGCTGCCTCTGCACTTGGTGATTACATGAGGAAAACTGGAGATGGCTGTTTTTGCCAGGATAAAGTGGTGTCGTGCCTAATTGCCTAGAAAACAAAGTCAGTGCTAAAAAAGAGAAACTGGCACTAACAGGCACAGGGATCTGCTCAAAAACTGCTGCTCCCAAATCTCTGGAGCCCTCAGGCCCCTTGATCTAAAATCCAGATTCGTTGCCACAGGCTGGGTGGCCCTGCTTGTGTCAGTGGTGGTTTTCATTCAGAAGTGTTAATGCTGGTGGGATTTACATGCTGATCATAGATAGACTACAGGCTGGGCAAAATATAAACTCATTCTTCAGCCTGCTTTGTGAGTCCAAAGGAAGGAAGCCAATCCAGGCAGCATTCTGATGGATTTCTGTGTCACAGATACAGGAATGCCAAGGCAAGCTGAACAGCTATGTAAAGGTTAGTCACAGTGGCTTTCATTAAAAGCAGGGAATTCTTCCTTTTTCCTTTTTCTTATAAAGAAAAAAATAGCACATCAGATTTTGCCTGTGGGCTTCTCTGCTTGTTCTCCCCGGATTTGATGCAAACCTCAGTAATGCCAGTGACTGTCACAGCTGCACAAGGTTTGACAGCAAGCACGGAGCTCCAGACATTTGTAACAGCACTGCTCGTTGTTCATCATCTCTACATTAAATCCTAGAGTTTGGATTGGGCCAGAGCTGATCTGGTATTGAAATGCCCACTGTGTAATGCCCAGCATAGGCACTGAGGGGATTGCTGATTGTTCTGGATCTCAAGGCACCCCTGACATTGCACTGCCCACAGCAGAGCTGTCCCAGCTCCCTCCAGGCTCCCAGTCCCACCTGCACAGGTGGCAGCAAAGCCAGGGTTTGGTAAATCAAACAGGGTACTCAGCACTTACAGCTCTCCAGGTCCAACATGCACTCCTGCTCGTCCATGGGGTACTTGGACAGGTCCATGTCACAGGCCACTGTGGAGGTGATCCTGTTCAGGCAACGTGAACACCAGTTACTGCATTCAGACAGAGCTCAGAACACTGAAGGGAAAGCTTTGAAACCCTTTTAGCAGCGAATGGAATTATTTTCAAAGTCCTTATGGCTGTTGCCTTTACTGAGTCTGTGGGAAACCCAAAGGCAGGGAACTAAAGAAAAGTCAAGTGGCTTTAATGGCAGAGGACACTTCAGCTACTTCTCACAATGAAAAGGAATTTTCTGATTCCATCTGCCACCTTTCACTGTACCCAAGGTCCCTACCAATACCTTAATGGGAATTTTGGGCTTACAGTTTCAGAGGTGCACACTGATCATTTTGTGGAACATTACCCAGTTAACTTCCACTCCAGTTACTGAGTTCCAGCCACAGCACTCCTCCAAGGTGAGGAAATGACACTTTCTCTGCTTGAGAGATGGGGAAGCTGAGCCTAAATCAGGCTCATAGTTCCCTTGGAAATAGCGAAATAGAAAACAGAAAAGGAAAATAGAGAGTGGAGAGCAGAATCTTTGCCAAAGAGCCACGAGACTCTTGGAGGACATTCTGAACATGGCAGTGTCATCCTGGGAAAGCAAAGGGATCTCTGACAGGACATTTTCTTCCATGTTGAATTAACAACTCCTTTATGAAACCATGCAAGAAAAACAGTGGTTACTCCACAGTCTGTGCCAGGAGTCAGCACCCAACAGAACACTCGCTCTTCCTCACTCACCTGATGCTGTATAAAATGACTCCATCTGGCTGCAGCCGGATCAGTTTGTTTTCCACAGTCACATCATGGAACCAGGCAGACTTGGCATTGACTATGAAAGTATCTGGCAACCAGAGCTTGTCCACAAACCTGCTGTCTAAGCCCAGAGTCTCGTTGGTGTGGTTGTACGACAGGCGCTCGTCTCGCCAGCTCTGGTGCAGAAACACTGTCATGGTGTATTCCTGTGACAGGGGAGATCCCAGGTGAGAAGTGATGCTGAACACACGCAGTGCTGATGTCTTGGGGCTTGGCCAAAAATCACTGTATTAGCCTGGAAGTACATTATCTGCTTCCAGTGCAAAGAGTGTTATTATACTCAGTCAGCCAGAGAGCTGCCCGAGCATTTGAATGTCTGGCATGGTTCCACCAGGGATAAACCCAAACCATCAAAATCCACTTCAACATCAGCGTTACACGGAATACACTGTAAGAGTTGTGCATTTCTCAAAAAAGAACAGCACAACTTTGGGCTTTGAACGTTTTTTAGAGCAAAACTGAAGACTGGGATACCGTACCATGTTCACCTCTGAGATGTGGTCAATGCTGGCTACCTCGATGGCCAGGGCCACGTTAACGGGGGGACCTGGGGAAAAGGGTTGAATGGGTCACTGACATCATCACAGGACCTACACACACATAAATGACCCAAGAGTTCAATTCTTTCAGAGACAGAGAGAGTTCACAAAAGCGTTTTCCATTATAAAGTACACTCTCCAAGTAGAACCTACCCTAAAGCAAGAGATTTAAATCTTTTACTGATTTTTTTACCTCCATTTCCAACCTCAAGATAAAGGGCACGAGATACAATCACAGCTACTGAAAACTATGGAATCCCTTCTGGAAATCACACTTTCTAGTTTAAGACAGCATGACTTCAAGCAGATGCAGGAATTACCACCTTTTAATGTAATACAAAATTCCTTCAACTTAAATGCCAGTGATTTAGGAACTGTATCAGAAGCCTGTGTTGCTGTTGTACAGTCTGTCTCCTGTCAAAATCATCCGAATTGTTGATGGTCATTTTTTCCCAGTACCCAAGTGAAATCTACTCATAACCTTTGAATCCCATGAAGGCTGAAGTTCACGTGAACATCAGAGGGTAGAGGGACTGTAAGAACAAAAGAGGCGTTGTTGTCCAAGCCTCACCTCCAATGCCAGGCCTGAAATTCCGAGCGTAGCCTTTCATTAAATCATCCAGGTTGGGCAGCCAGGAGATTTCGATGTTGGAACCGATGTAGTCTCCGATGTCACTCATGGCTCTGGGGAAAGCAGGGAAGTGTCCTTTGAGACTTGCCCGTGTTTACAAAAAAACAGCAAAAGCACAGAAAATGGGAGAGGGACTTCTCTCACACCAGAGACCACATATGGAATAATCAGCTGTGTTGGAAATCTAGTGGGAAAATACTGTGTATAGGTAGGAAAACCGTTTCAGATATTTCTGTGTAAAGCAAAACATACTTCAGGCAAGACTGGGGCCTCTTGCTGAATTACGAGTACGTAACTCCAGAAGTTTTTTCCTTTCTTAAAAAAAAAAAAAAAGGAAAAATAGATTTAGAAACTTGGAGAAAACGTGAGGGAAACCAAGCCACTTTGCATGGAATGCATCTGTGGGTGCTGGGATGCAGCTGTGCCCGCTCCCGGTGAGCGGCCTGGGCACTCAGCTCAGCACGGGAGCAGAGCCTCCTGCAGTCCCCAACTCCTCCTCCCACAGGGGGCTGACAGAAAACTCCTGACTGCCCTGGGCAGAAAACTGTCTCGTGTACAGAGCCAATTATGTAAGGAGGAGTTGTGGGATTAGTGTCCAAATGTGAGCTCTGAGCAGCAGAGACACTGAGGGCTGCGCTGGTGGAGCTGTCAGAGCTGTGTGACCTGGCACAGGGACACTGCTCCGGTGAGACTTCAGTACTGCCCAGCAAAACCTTGCTTTAAACTGCATTTATAACAGTTCCTTGCCACGAGCACAGCGCTGTGTGTTCATCTCAGGTGACTGTCCCAGCCACTCCTCAGGTTCCTCCAGCTCTTCTGAGTAGGGATCAGAGCCACGTTTTCAGCTGCATAAATTGGAATAACTTAATTGATTTAGACAAGGGCTTTGAAGATTTATAACAAATGTTGACAGAGGTTCTTTGCTTCTTTATTGGGTCTCATCAACTATATCAACACTTCTTTCTATCAGACTGCTTTTCTCTGTGTGCTGGTCTTTCAGTCATCCAACTGTCAGTATTTACTTAAATGAAATGATGGCTTCTTAATCCATGGCAAATTTGTTTTAAAATGTGCTTAATTGTAAATTGTAAGTCACAGCCATAGGTATGGAATGGTGTTCCTGAGCAGTGACACATCTGAGCTCCCTCCCTGGGTAAAGAATGGTGCTTTCTGTCTTTTCCTAATGAGAGTAAATGACTCCAGTACGCCTGAACTGAAATATCTGCCTAAAATCTCTCTGCCTTTTCAACAGGAGATGGTGCTTTGCAACTCCTGCTGCTAAAACTGCCGCCACTCCCGGGAAGTGTTTTGCAAACAGAGCTGGAGTCAGAAGGTGAGTGCCCTGGAGTGATCTCCCTGTGTGCCTGATCATCTGCTTTGACAAAGCTCTGGGTGTGCAGCAGCTCCCCTGTCAGGGCTCCATTTTAGTGGCATTAAGGAGCTCAGAGAAGTTAAAATGCTGAGAGTGGGGTTGGAAAGCGTGGGCTGTAGCCTGCCATGTGTCTGAAGCAGATTACAATCTAGAGGGAGTTTTACTCAAATATCCATGACACAATTAAAATAAATCTCATTTCTATTATTAATGAAGCCTTAGGGTCAGATCATCAGTGTGACAAACGTGCTGAAGTTAGTGGAGCTATGTGCACTTAAATACCAGGGGGGCTGTTAAAGCATTCCAGCTGAAATAACTTGCTGGGCACATTTGCCCTGCTGGGGGCCCTGCTTTGAGCCATTCCTCTGCACTCCTGCACCCCACACCCAGGCCTTGGTGGCAGGGCTTCACTCATCTGGGATTATGTATGGCCTAAAATATCGTTCATTCTTGTACCTGAGAAAAGGAAGGCCAGAAAAGATGCACTGGGAGGGATTAAGTTTTCACAGTGTAAGCAGGAAAGATGAAAAGAAACTCCCATGAGTTGATTCAGCAACTTCCCTGCCCCACATAAGCTGCTGTAAGGCTTGTTTGGGTAAGAAAAGGGGCTTTGTAAAATTAGGGGAGTGATCTGCCAAATGCAAGGGGTGAAAGAGCTCCTCCAGAGCTTATCTTCAGTTTGCACCGGGCCAGCGTGGGGAGCTCTGGCTGAATGGCAACACTCATGTGGGCTCCTGTGGCTCTGGAAGTCAGTCCCAAATCTAAAGCTGAAGGAGATGGGTTTTCTCCCACACTCTGGCTCTGTACACGTCTCATTCCAAGCAGATATTTTGGGGAATATATTTGCATCTGCTCATATCTGGAATTTAGGCACTGGGAGAACTTCAAGTGAGCTCATTGTTAGCAGCAGAAAATGGGTTACTGCTGTTCAGATGATGGAAGGAACAGTGAGTTCTCTTGTCCATTGGACAAAGGGGAAAGGAAATCCCATGGACTAACTGGGAAAACCTATGGAGTTCTCCTTTCCCTAATAAAGCTGCTCTTGGCATCGTTTAGGGAAGCAACTCCAGGCAATGAATGTCAAACGACAGAGCAAAGAAATGCATCTCCTTCTGAGCTGCACCAGGGATGGCACTGGCAGGATTTTCCCCAGCAGTGCCAGAATCTGTGGGAGCAGAGCAACCAGCTCAGCAGCGTTCCTAAGGCAGTGGCCAGTGAGGCACAGAGTGAGGCCACACTTGCAGGGAGGGTGCACTGACCCTCTGCCAAACACACAGAGCACAGGCATGGGGAAAAGCACTCTTTGCATCCCCTGGTTCTCCTTTAAATCTGCTAACCTGGTTCTTTGGGGGACTGTGACATAGTTGTTATAGGAATCGTTTATCCTGGTAGATGGGAAAACCAGTTTGACTGAAGGACTGCGGTGGAGAACATTTCATTTCCTGTGAGGTAAAGCATCGGGGGGCAAATGTCCCAGATGTCATTGCCACTGAGGAAAACTTTCTCTTGGGGAAAAGACAAGGAATATCCTGCAAGGTCAGAGAACAATCTGGCCTCTGTCAAATTCCAGGATTACCCAGAGCAGTGTGTGTATCCTTCCCATCTGCCATTCCTGACTTTAAGTGAAGCTCGCTGTAAATATGTTTTGTATTTTGAAATGTAATTGAAAAGGCATTAGGCTTAATTCATGGCAACCTCTAGAACATCAAAGCCTCTCTGTGTGTTTTAAGCTACAGAAAATGGACCATCCTTTGCATATATTCACGTGTTAAAGCTGCTCTGCTGCCACGAATAGAAGTAAAAGGCTTAGGGAGACACACAGCAGAAGGACAATTAAATGCAAGTGTATAGAAGTGTCATGTAACATAGCAGAGTCTTAAATGTAACAGACACACCTGTTTTTAGTTGGAGAATTAAAATCTGTTCCGGTAAAGAATTACAAAGTATGGACACAGCCCCCCCAAAGTGCCCTCAGGGTGCTCCTTCCCCACACAGATGAAGAACTGTTTCCCCCAGTGTCTCCCTGCAGATGATCTCCTGCACTGGGACACATTTCTTCTCGCAGCATCCACAGCATGTCAAGCCCTGATAAAATAATGGAAGCCACAGTCTTTGCCCCAGAGAGCTGCCAGTCATACCAGCGGCAGATTTCTTGCCACTAATCACTGTCTCGAGAAGACAAAAAATTGCCACTTTTTAAAAATGTTTACCTGAAAAAATGTGCTGACTGAGGTCGAATTTGGCTCATGCCCTTCAGTCAAACCACACATGACAGAGAAATTGCTTCAAACACAGCTAAAGCACCCTGGAAGGATATTCCCAAATGCTCTGAGGGAATAGCATTTCCCTGTGTGTGTGTCCCCTTTCCCTCCTCTGCCACACCAGGACAGTAATTTTTGCCTTTGGGAAGTCCTGTGTCCTACCACTGCATTCCAAAATCACCGAACTGTTCTTGCTTTGGGGAATATGTTTTTCTTACACCTGTCAATTTACAGTGCAGAGAATTCAGGGGCTTTGGATGGCCTCTGTCATCAAAACTGCAAGTCACATTGCATTTAGAAAACAAAATCAGAGCCTTAAAATGGCAGTTTTGCCCATTACCACACTGCTTTCCATAAAAGCATCTCGTACCAAAAATACTTTTACTGATGCAAGGGGAAAATGTTGCTCTAGTTCCATTGAACTGAGCCCAGTTACACATCTTAGCAAGGCTACTCCCCTTTTCCAGGATTAAACAGTGCCCTGCCACAGTCACACTAAATCCTGAATCTGCAGAAAACTGCTGTGCCAAACAGAGCAGCTTCCCTTGACCATGGAATGTCTCACACTCTGGCACATTTGGAAAACTACAGACTGAGCAGTTGGAATTTCAGAAGTTAGAATTTTCCTTGCCTGACTCTCTGCCATGAGTGGATGTATTTTTAACCAGCAACTCATCACTATTGTGTAACGGGAGGAAGAAAGTCAAGTAACCAGGGAATTAATCCAAATATAAAATACCGTATCCAGCAAATTATGGGTTGCACATATCCTGGCAGTGGCTGTGCCTGGGAGCAGACCTCGAAAGACAGAGGCTGAGAAGACTCGTCTTTAAAATTCTGGGTTTTCCCTCTTTTGTACTCAAACATTGCTTTTCAACCCAAAGCCTCAGTGCTGCCCCAAGTGCAGAGGGAGAAACAGGATCACTGAAATCACTGGCAAGGTCTGGGTGCCCTTTGGCCATGAGCAGCATTTCCTCTGCCTTCTCTGCGATGCTGGATCGCTCTGGAGCATGAGGGTGTCGGGATCTGACCCTGCAGAACAGACTCAAGGTCACAGGACAGATCATCGTGTCAGTCCTGACTAAGAGCAGTTGACTTGACGCTTCCTCTGAGCAAGATCCTCTTCCTTCCCAGTGAAAAAATCAGATCTCCCTGATGAATTCCAAGAAGTGTGACAGCAACGTTCAGTCTCACTCCAGCTACCACTTTGCCTCTTCCACTGCTCCGACGGTACGAGCGATGCCCGTCAAGCAGAAGCTGAAAGACCCCTTAAATGCCACAGCCCCCTCTGCTCCGGGGGGTGTGGGCATGTTTTTACATGCAGCAAGTTCTTTCTTACACCCCCTTCTATTTTCATTGCGTAATCATGGCAAGCTCTCTCCACATCCAGCCTCCAGATCTGGAGAGAATCTCTGGAGCCCGTGGCTGGTTGCCTAGCTAACACCTTCGGAGGGAACGGGGCTGAGCTGCACTCAGGCATCCTTCAGACAGGCGTCCTTCTCCACCATTCGGCATTTTAAGCAATGCTTGGTGTTCTCCAAACGCTTTTCCCCCTAAGATCTCTGGCAGCCTCTTCCTGCTATCCTGAGTTCGGGAGGTTTAATGAACCCACCAGAAAGGCATGGCTGCATTTTGGGGTTTTAACGGTACCTGTGGAGGCCCCAAGCAGAGCTGCTCAGCTCGTACCCCGCTGGCTTTGTGCAAGAGGTTCGAGTTCAAACAGGCCCCCCTAGAGCTGCTGGAGGGGCTGAGGCTGTGCTGGGGTGTGCAGTGCCTCCCAAAAAAGTGATTGCCCCCAATTTAGAGTAAGTGCCCTCGGGAAAAGCATTCCAGGGGCATCCTGTTAAACACACAGCCCTTGATCACCCCAAGAAACTGCTGCTCAGTTGGCAGAAGTGCACCCTCAGCAAGGAAACCAAGAAAGAAAGAAAAAAAAAAAACCAAACAGAGGAGGCACATTAAAGAAACTCTTGAATCGAGAGCCCTTTTCTCCTGCACACTCTCTGCGAGCAGTCCTGGCCCGTGAGTGCACAAAGCACCCCTGGGCAAGAGCGGCAGCCCCAGCCAGCCCTGGCACCACTCACCCCGAGAGAGAACGGCTGCCCGAGGCCAGGCTGAGAAAGAACGAGAAGATGTGTTCTTACCTGATACACCTGTGCTGTTGGGTGCACAGTAGAACCAAGGCAGGAAAAACCCAGGTAAGAAGTTCCATTTTACTCCCATTTATTAGACAGCGGCGACCAAAACCCAGGTTCCCCGGCTCTCCTGGCAGCTCCAAAGCTCCAGTGGCGTTGCCATCCTTGCCTGCTGCGCTAAGTTGAGGCTGAGTTTAGAACGATGGATGGTTGCTCAGCAGCAGCAGCCCCCACAATCCGCAGAGTGCCCGGGAGCCATGCGGGCAGCCCGGCCCGGGGAGCAGGGCAGCCCCGCTCCGCTCCGCTCCGCTCCGCTCTGCGGGTGGCTCAGTCCCGCCCGGCTCCGCTGCCCTGCTCCCGCATCCCTCCCCTGCCGCGGGCTCTTCCTCCGGCCGCCCTGCCCGCCCGCGAGGCTGCCTGCCGAAAATAACCTCCGAAAGGCTGGATTAATCCCACGGAGCGGGGTGGGAGCGACTCAAAGTGCTCCGGAGCCACTCATGTCCTGCGCGCATCGTGCCAGGGAGGAGCAGGAGGAGCTCCGAGGGCAGGGGCGGCCGGGCCGGGCGCGCTCGGGGACGCGGAGCCACACGAGAACCGCGGGCACGGCCGCCCCCCGCCGCCCCCCCGGCACATCCCGGCGGCACCCGGGCACGGCAGCGGCGGCCCGGCTTCCAGCGGCCCTCCGGGAAAGCGGGAACGCGGCCGGCGGCTGTGCCCGGGGAAACTGCTGCCTCCCCGCCGCTTGCGCGCTGTCCCGGGCCGGCACCGCCGGCAGGGGCACGCCCGGGGCCACCAACTTCTGCCTCGCACCCGTGGGCTCCTCGGGGGCTTCTCTACACCGGGACGCTGCCCTTGCGCCGCTCCGTCCCGGGCTGGCACCGTCCACCTTCCACCGCCCGTGCCTCGCCAACTCGCGGCCCCTCCTGGGGCTCCTCGGGACCCGCCGTGCGCCTCCACTTGCAGGGTCAAACTCCCTTTTCTCCTCCATATTCGCTCTTTCCTTCTCTCCTCCTCCGCCTCCTCGGCTTCTTGGTGCTGTTCAATCTCGAATGACAATTTTAAAACCAACCCACAAAAGGAAACCGTGCGAAGGAGACATTTTCAAGAGATTATATTCATAAAGAAAAAAAAAAAGAAAAAAAAAAAAAGAATGTGCAGGTACCTTAAGCAAATGAAAGGAGGCACCGGGGGTAAAGCAGAGGGGTTTGTCTTTTCGTCTGCCTAATTCTGTATTATTATTTAGTACCAGTATTTCAAGTGGCAGCTAAGGGGTGGTGGGTGAGGGGAAATAACGGCCCTGTGGGACCCAGGGGAGAAGATGTCCACAATAAACACACACAGATGCAATACAGCAGGAATAAGATCATGTCATAAACGGGTGAGAAGGATGGAGGGGGCTATTTTTGTCCTGATCTTTTCCTCCCTCTGCCCATTTCCGTAGCCACCCCTGCAGCTAGGGAGGGAAAGACACGAATTTAAACTCGAGGAGTTGGATTTGCTGCATGAAAACTGCTTTTTTTTTTTTATTTGAGGAGGGAAACGAAGAGGTTTTTAGTGGAATTTTACCTGGTGACACACAGAACAGAATCGTGTTGCCTCTCTGCATAACAGAACACATGTATAAACTTTTGGGATCCTTTCGGTGGAGATTTTTTCAGGTTTTCCCCACCTTTAAGGCTGGTGTTGCAATGGGCTGCACACCTACACTGAGAATCCCTGGGTGCTGCTTTCCTCTGGCCAGACAGCTGTCATCCCATTTAGCAGTAAAGAAGAACAGTTTTCTCTGTCTTCAGCAGACTCTGTAACACCATCAAGAACCTCCCCTGGTACTGTGTGGGGGACACACGTGTGTGTGTGAGTGTGTGGGTGTGGGCACATCATGGCATCAACCTGTGCTCTGAAGGGACAGGCCTCGCCACAAGTGGGACCACTGGCACGAGCGAAAATACCCTGGCAATCCTAAAATACGGGTGGAACTTCTCTCAGATAAATGGATTACGTGTGATCTACACTGACCTTAATTATATCCCCACACGACACAGGAGAAGGACATTCAGCCTTGGGTTTAGTTACTTTTGTACACAAATACATATTTGAACAAAATAGGCTGGTACAGATATATATATAGATACATATATACATGCACAGCCCCTCAAAATAAACAACTCCCATTGCCAAAGGGAAGAGAGGGGATAAAACAATAATAACGATGGACAATTTATTTAATTTCCTACAATTTCAGCAGAGTATCCCAAGCTCTTTATGGTGAATGACAGATTAAATTTGCTAAGATATAGATTAGGAAACAATTAAAATTGCTATTAAAACATCAAAACAAAACAAAATAAATAAGCTCCCCAAATCTTTCTCATCTAATCCTCTTGAAAATAATTAAAGCTTTCCTTTAGCTTTAGCTCCTGGCTCAGAACTGTCAAATAGTCTTAAAAAGATGGCCCATGATACTAAATGTTCCCTAAGCCTTTTTGTCACTGTGCTAAACTCCTGCCTCTCCCAATCCCTGTGTCTGCAGGCACCAGCTTTTATGGAAATACCCTTCCCGTGATCTGACCTTGAATGTTGGGCTCAGGCTGGCAAAAGCTGATGTTCTGCACCCACATCCGGACAACTTTACAGGTAAATGCCATTTAAACATTATTATCCTTAGTTGTTATTACCACTAGAGTAACAATTACTAATTTTTGAAGTATTTGCCCTACTCAAGTAGTAAGCAGAGGTCACAACTTTGAAGCACATTTTACTCTAATTGAGACCAGAACCCCAGATTTCAATATCTGTCGAGTGTTTTTCTTCTGCAACACGTCACAGGTTTTCCCCTGACCACAGTCATCTGCACTTTGTAACTGCTGCCATGAAACAATTTATTGGAGGGCACAATTTGTTGGGATTGAGGAGAAACATGCTCAGTCACAAGTTCTCACAGTCATTTATTACCTCGGGTTTTTGGGACCGTATCAGAAGGACATTATTTCAATTTATTTTGCAGTGGCACTGCATTACCCAGGATTCTTAACAGATCATTTTCTAAACAGAACAGGTGGTTCTGCTGCCAGCAAAATGAAGATGTCATATTGTCACATATAATTTTGAGGCAAAAAATGTACCACAGGGCTAATTAGTTTCCCTCTCCCGTGACTCCACCTAAGCAGCTCATGAAAGACTGTTGTGGCAACATCACCAAATGTCTCCAGATACACAAATTACACACATATGCCTATTTTTATAAATGAGATTTGGGACTATCAGTAGCAATCCCAGGGTGGGAATCTGTAGCTCATTTCAGAGGTTGTGCTGTACTTGCACTGTGGGAATGTCCCACAGCCCCAACACAAGTGTGTCTCTGTTTAATCAGCAGCAGGAGAACCACAATATTCATTTCCCTCTCACCTAAAGGAATGCAGTTTTTCTCTGTTTCCAAATGTTGTGCAGAACATCCAGTTCCTCCCTCAGCCTGTGCCATTTGATAATCATGAAGCTCAGTGCAGCCAGACACTCTGCCCCCCTTTCCTTTTCTTTGTGCAACCAGTTGGGGATGGAATTCCCAGGGCTAATCCCAGGGCTGGGATGGTTGGCTTTCCCCAGATGGGGGGATCTCAGGGGCGCACCCCCAGCTGGTGCCATCCCAGGCCACTCCTCATGAGATGCTCTGAGAGCAAATGCCCCTCTCATTGTCCATCCATCTGTGGGGATGAGTCATTGGGAAGATGCCTCTCGATGTTTGCCATTATTTACAGCCCAACAAATCAGTGTTTGCCACTGTTTGCGGTCCAACACTGATCCATAGGGGCAGAGAAGTCTTATGTAATTGGTAGGAGCCACGGTGCCAAAATGCAGATTCCATCACTGGCATGTCTTCCTGCCTAAAAGCCAGAAAGCTCCATATCTGAGCTGCTGTCACCTTGGAAACGTTCGGGAGAGAAATGCCAGCTCTGGGGGAGCACAGTATGCAGCCACACAGCAAACTGAACTGCCCAGTCCTACCCATTCCCACTTGATCCCGAGGTGGTACCAAAGGAACTTCACAGAAATGCCTCTAAATTTAACCTCCCAGGCAGAAAACAGCAGGGTTTTAATTTATTCCTCCTCACTTTGCTACCCATTTTCTCCGAGATGGATTGCTGGGGGTCAGAGCCTTAAAAATCTACAAGAGTTGCATCAACCAGAGCCTTTTTGCACATTTCCTGGAGCTTAAAGCTTTAGGTTCGCTGGCTTAAAGTTGATACACTTGGCTGGGGAGCCACAGTTTCCTTCATAGGAACTGAAGATGTTCTCTCTTCTCCCATCTATGTGGGACATAAAAATCTCTGTTGCCCTTCCCTACAGACAAATTATTCAACCGGCACAAAATCATGACCATTTTTTGTTGTTGTTATGAAAATTGTTCAAATAGTTGTAAACTGGGACTAAATAAATACCCTACATAAAAATATCCCAAGAAGACGACTGTCAGTGGTATTTCCAGGTGTTCTTCCAAGTGTTCTCTTGAGGGGAAAATCCGTGCCTGGATCTTTTGCATCCCAGCTCTGGGAGTGTGGGAACTGGCAGGTTCAGAGTTAACACAGTCATATCTATTCCAGATCTGCAGAGAGAGCTATACAGTTAATCACTGCATATTTTTAGCCTACATCTTGTAGCTTTAATCCTGCAAATGTCTGTATGTAATTTGTTTTATGTAATATGAATAGATGCCATAAAATCGAGATTCCACCATTTATAGAGCTAAGAATGTCCACGTATTTCTCAAGAATGAGGACCTACAGCGTAAGTGTGGGACAAAAAACTGGTCACTGTGAGTAATTTATACTCTATACTGTGGGTGCCAGTGGAAATAAATGCTCGGATTAGCAGCATATTCTTGTATGCATGGGATCAAAAACCAGACCTTACTCTCACAGCAACTCTAACAATGACAGAAATATTGCTTACAATTAAGGAACCATTTCAACTAAATAAATCTGAGAATGCATCTGTCTCTGTGTACAGATCAGGGTGTGTTTTGGCGTGGATGATGTCCCAGTGTTTTCACAAC